TGTGGTACTATTACTCGGTTGTTCAACAAAAACAATATTCTGAAACTTGAAATAAAATTTAACTTTTTCCCCAAACCTGTACTAATTAAGTGAATTGTCTCAGTAAGCCAGTTATCTACATTTTCATTGTCATCTTTAATAAAAGATTTTGACAAAAGACCTGCATCGTACATAAATTTGCCAGGCAAATACTTTAAACTTAGATTATACTTAAATAATTTAGTACGCATGCGCTGTAACCTGGAAGAGGCTATGTCACAAACTTTTTTTATCAAGAAGGCTAACCAGTGGTTTATGGTCTGTAATCACATTTACTAACCGACCATAGATATAATTATGAAATTTCTTTGTAGCAAGACAATTGCCAACATACAAGTCAAAATCGTGACTGTCAGATCGCTTATCGAACTCAAGACCCTTAAAACGCATCTCCTTTTTAGGGTTAATTTTTTTTATAAAAAAAATTACTTAAAATTGAAAATCATACAAGTAGAAGAATTTAATTTTTTAAACGTCACTGATTTTTGGTCATTGTCAGATCGCTTATGGAACTTTACTTTCGCTACGACTGATAAACCTACAGAAATTGTCGACTTTGGAGCAAATATTTAAATTTTATGGGATTTGAGAGAACTGCTACGTTGGGTAGTTAATGAATTTTGTGAAAAAAATCCAGAAATTTGAGTTTTTTATGAAACTGTTAAAAAATTGGTGAAGAAATTTTTAAAAACTGACTTTTGAATCACCGAAATTTTTATTAATTTGTTGCATTTTCAGATTAATCCAGATTTCCCACCAATGCATTGCAATGGTGTAGTTTCATTCCAACATTGTCGATATTGGAGCAGTCGAAATCCAGATTTTAACGTGAGATTATGGATTATGGATTTTTTTTTGAGGACGGTTAGAAAATGATGTAGAATAAATAAAAATTAAAATTTCTAATGCTATTCAGTCGATCTCGAAAGAAGAATTCAACGAATTTTGATCGAGGGTTGAAATTTCTGCTGATTTGTGATTATTTGAATTTTTTTTCTTTCAATTAAATAATTTGTCTGGATACTTTTAGTAATTTTAAATAAAATGTCCAAATTTGGTATTTATTTATTTTTATAAAAATATGATTAGGAAATTAACTGTACTAGTTAATTTATTCATTATTATATGGTAGCATAGGTCTCTAGTTCCATAACATTGACTATTTCCCTCGTCTTAATTTCTACCAATCACAAACGCGCAATTTTGAATTACAAATTCTAGGTAGAAAAACTGTGTGACAGCACCTGTCAGCAGTTTTTTCGAGTTTACCCACGGCAAAACTTGACAGCTGTTATCACCAAAAATTGCAATTTATATTTTAATTGTACCATAAATAATTAAGTTTGTAGTATTTTGTAAATTACCTATTTTTTAGTTTTCAAATTAATACCTACATATTTATTATGTATGCATGTATTATTATATGTATGTATGTATATAGTATGTTTTGTAAGCTATGTATATGCAGAATAACTGTTACTCATGAAATAGTCTTGTCAAAATCTATTCGTGCAGGTGCAAAAATCCTCGTCTTCGACTTGGATTTTTGTTGCCACCATCATTCATGCTTCTTGTTAAAATATTACTTAGCAACGTGTTTTTTTATTTTAAATTAGATGCCCTTATGATATTACTTACGAATAGCTAAGTTTTTTGGCAAAGTCAACAATTTCTGTAGTTTTATCAGTCGTAGCGAAATTAAAGTTTTATAAGCGATCTTACAGTTAGTAGAGATCATACAAATCACAGTGACGTTTAAAAAATTAAATTCTACTTGTATGCCTTCCAATTTTAAGTAGATTTTTGTATAAAATTAACTGTAAAAAGGAGATTACTTTTACGGGTTTAAAGAAAAGCAGATCATTTCAACAATAGTATTTTTTTATGATAAATTAAAAATAAAAAAATAAAACAAAAAATCCCTCTTTGTAACTCAATCTGTGGACATACTGTATAATAGGCAAAACAGTTTACAAATTGTTTTTTTTATATTTTAATCTCTAAAATTAATTAACCAAAACTGATAGATAAAAAAGATGTAGATCCTAAAAGTATCTAACAAATATAAAAAAAATTAAAATCATTTGGTCAACCGTTTTCGAGTTATAGCGGCTCAAAGTTAGGTACGTTCTTTACATTGTTTTCCGAGTAGGGTCGATCGATAATTTTGGCGCCCTCTATCCTTTTTAGAACCAAATACATACATTGTTACAAACAATTATGCTAAAAATTAAAAGCTGTACAATTTTTGTCTTAAAACTTTTTTGTTTAACCGAGATAAAACGATTCATTTAAAAAAATGGGAAAAAGCACCCAAGGGGGGCACATGGATATATGATATTTTACCCTTTAGATCCAAAATCCATCTAGTTCAAATTTTTTTTATGTAGCTCCTGATTTTTTGACAGATTTACTGTACTAATAGGGTCATATCCTTGTTATTGAAAATAAAAATAGAAATGTATTAACAATATATAGGAAGGCATATTGTATTTTTCATTTTCCTTATAAATGTTAATTTTAACTAATTATCAGCATTAAATCGTGAATAAAATTCCCAAGATACCTAGGTGAGTTAAGTTAAGAGAAGAAGGAAAAGTTTTTGTTGTTTCCCCTTTATTTGCCGCCTTGTTATTTAAAGTTGTACGTCGTTTGAAAGTGCAGTGCACAATTAATGTTTATAGTAATTTAATGCCACATTAACCACCACACAATGCGATTCTTATCGGTCACATTTACAAATTAAAAAAAAAACAACAAAAAACTATTGATTTTTTTTGCACTGCACGTTCTCCAGTCCATGTCAATTTTATGAATGGTAATTTTAGTTATTTAATTAAACTAAACAATTTTTGTATTTAATACAATAGCTTACTTTAAAAGGACTAAACCTTTTAAAGTAAGCTATTGTATTGAATACAAAAATTGTTTAGTTTAATTAAATACCGTAAACACGGGTGGCTTTAGCTCACTTTCAAACTTAAGATTAAAATTTTTGTGGTTTTAACAATCATAAACATTAAATTTTGTATACCAAAATTTGAGTCTTGAGTTGATCTTTCATAATAACTATGTTATAATATTACCTAGGGCTAAGTTTCAAAAATAAAAATTTAAAACTGGGTGTGCAAAGTTACCCGATGGTTGAGGGTAACTTTGTCTCACAGCGTATTTTCCGGATAAAATTAACTCAATATTTAATTTTATTTTTATTAGACAGATATATCTAGCGACATATATCTATTACACGAGATTACCGATAAAAAAAATAAAAAAACCGATCTGTAGTTAACCAAGGATCATCATTCCAAAGGATTGCGCCTAATATAGAAATTTTAACGAGTGTATTTCTAGCACTGATGCAATATAATAGTATATTATGTATCAAGTTTGATAAACGCCATTTTATACACGAATTTAGTCACGAGCGAGCTTGCGAGCGAGTGCTTAAGTTAATGAGTGTTTAGAAAAGTTTATAAACGAGGTGCATACTATACTTTTTCTAGGACAAATACTTATTATTACCTATCTTAAAATGATTTAAATCAAAAATTTGTATAGAGCGCCATCTATGAAACAACAGGGGAAACTGTCAAATGTCACATTTTTACATTTTATAAAAACAATTATAAAGGTTATAAATCGAAATGTATCTTGAAAATTGACAGTTTTTCACAGTGAAAGTAAAGGAAATGTTTTATGAGGACTTTACAGTAGAGTCCGTGCCCGAATTTAAGTTATAGTTTACTGCCGGCGAAATTAAAAGGTCAGTACAATGTTCATATAAACTTTTCAAATATTGGCGTTGAGAAACTATTTAATATTTTTGTATTGAGATAATAAAATAATTTTCACATTTAGTATTATTTTACAAGAAAGGCACTTTATTTTAACGATTGTATGACATTTGACTGTCAACTAACTTAAAACTAACTTCAGCCCGTGACTAAAAACCTGTTGCTAACTTCAGCCCGTGACTAAAGCGCCGTAAAGCCACAGCTTGTCAATGTGTATTTAAAAGGTCACTTAGTGTCATGGAAACATGTACAATAAAGGGGGTTTTAAAGGTGGGTGTAGAAAAACAATTTTAAAGTGTAATAAATCCCATATATTTCTTTAAAACACTGATTTTCCTGTAATATAAACTCAAAAGAATCGCTAAATTGGCAGGTTTAGACCAACAAATTATAAATGTTAATTTTATCGAGCGCGAAAAGATTTTTCAAAAAAGGGTTAAAGTCACCCGCGGGGTGCAAAGCCACGCGTGTTTACGGTAACTAAAATTATCATTCATAAAATTGACACGCACTGGAGTACGTGCAGTGCAAAAAAAATCAATAGTTTTTTATTAAATTTAAATTCGGAATTGAAAATGTGGATTCACTTATTATATGCTCTAAGGAATATCCATGTTTTGTATACTTTAAGGTAATATATATACATTAAAAAGTTTGGGGGTTTTGTCAAAACTGTGTTTTAAACAAAAACCATGCTATTTTACTAATTTTTTTTACACAAATGGCGAATGCACCGGGATTAAAAATGGTGAATTCGCTTGATATAAAACATAAAGAAGGTTAAAAAATATTTAATTTTTATAAGAAAAATAATTAGTACCTAATTTAAAAACAATAGCTCTTTATCCATCCTTAAAATATAAAATGTTAGTTAAATAAGAAACTTGATCTTTTTAATAATAAAAGTATTAACTAATTTCATCTACATGTTTTATTAGTTTGGAGCTAAATCGCGTTACAAAGCAAATCCTTACCTCTAACTGCACAAAACATGAATATTCATAACAACAAATAAGTAAGTAATAAATTTTTTTAAAGCCATATTTATCGCCTAAGGCGAAAGGCGCGCAGTCTGCATGTAGAAGAACCTGCTAGTGCAAGGTGCACAGTAAAAAAGGAGTAAGAAAGACGTATAAGAAGAAGAAAAGAAAAATAAATACTCACGTCCTAGGCAGGTATGTTTCCGGAATTGCAGGAACCCGTCGACGCATCGACATGCCCCATCAAGGCAGCTACTGTTGGCCACTTTCAGAGAACACTGCTCCGCCACCACGCAGTCGTACCCGAGAAGTGTGGCTGAAACAAAGCACAAAACATGTCAGTAGCGTAACAACGCAATGTAGGGCCCCTAACAAACTGTTAGGGGTGGGCTCTTTTTTAATTTTAGGATATTTGCCGTTTAAAAAAAGTGTTTTTCTTTCATAATAAAAATACATTTATGTATGGGGCAATCCATACCAAATCGACCACTTTTGAACCACACCCCTTTTGATTTGACTGAAACTTTTGTATCTTTTTCTAACCTATCAAACAGATTTTTTAGAATTTTTTCAATTTTTTTACTCAACCGAAAAAGTTTTAAATTTAATTCTATTTATTTTTCAAATATATGTATATATACACTCACAGGCAAAATAATAGATCCACACAAATTTTCGATGAATTTCATTCGCAAATAACTTTTTTATTTGTTTTCGGATTTAAACAAATATTAAAGAATATTGTAGATACATTAATGGAAAATCGCTCAAATTTTAAAAATTACTAAAAAATACACGTACGTTTATAATATACAGGTTTAAACAAAAATTTGTTTTTTACCATAAGTTTAAGACACTTTGTAGAGTGGCAAAACCGTATATTGTTCTAAATTAAGTTTTAATTATTAAGTCACAACTATTCTTAATAGTTTTGTTTTTAATTCACCTCGATATATTTATTTTTGTGAAAAATATGGATTTTTTAAAAAAACATTGCAATTTCCAATATTTTTCTGTATGAAGAACTAAGGTTGCTATGGTCCATCCATAGGCTATGGAGAATGACAGTGACAGTTTTGTTAAATCATCCCATACTTGGAAATGTCATATACAGCTTTCGAGTGTCTTAAACTTATGGTAAAAAACATCTTTTTGTTTAAACCTGTATATTATAAACGTACGTGTATTTTTTAGTAATTTTTAAAATGTGAGCGATTTTCCATTAATGTATCTACAATATTCTTTAATATTTGTTTAAATCCGAAAACAAATAAAAAAGTTATTTGCGATTGAAATTCATCGAAAATTTGTGTGGATCGATTATTTTGCCTGTGAGTGTATATATATATATATATATAACTTTTTACGGTTGGGTAAAAAAAATTGGTAAATATATATATATATATATATATTTATATGTTCTGCTATATATACATATAAATATTTGTATTAGTGGTTTTTCGGGATCTGCTCCGTGTTGTCGGTTTTTGGTTTTGAAAAGAACCGTATGTCTGACGACGTCTTTTAAGAACCAAAAACCTACAACACGGAGCAGATCCCGAAAAACCACTAATACACATAACGCCCGTGGAAACCTAAAGCAGAAGCAGAACGGTAAAATCTCATGTACCATCTTCAGGTCTTATCTGCTGGGCTGCTGTTGCTGCTCTGTTGCGAGTCACTCCACGTCTAATTCCACTAGGAGCAGATCCCGAAAAACCACTAATACATATACATATATATGTTTACGAAGAAAAGTTCAGATGTTTTGACATTCAATGTCAAACATTTCTTTGTCAGTGCATCCTAGATTAAATGTAACTACAGTTAAATTTGCATTGTTATTGTAAACAAAAAAGTATCCCATATGTTGTCAACTTAAGTAGACACATTGTATATATAGTCGCTCTTTATTTTTTAAAAATCTAAATTTAAAAAAATGTTTTAGATAGGGTAGAAAAAGATAAAAAAGTTTCAGCCAAATTAAAAGGGGTCGGGGTCAAAAATGGTCGATTTGGTATTGAGTGTAACCTTTGAAATATCGAAAATATTAAAAAATGATTTTAATAAAAGTGTAAAATAGTTCATTTTAAATTTTGCAGTGACATTGCCAACTTAATAAAATAAAAACAGTGTATTATTATTAGTATGTGTATACACATACTGTATACAGGGATAGAATACGATTACCCAAAGTACTTAAAGTAAGTGCTTAAAATGTTAACGGCCTAAATGATTTTCAAATTCTTGTTTTACATTTTGCAGCCAAACGTCTTGAACATTATGAATTTTATCAACTATTCTTGTCCTGAGAACCTGAAGATTGTCCCGCCTATTTTTGTACACCACTGACTTCAAATGACCAGTGGTGTTAGGTCTGAAGACCTAGCAGGCCACTCTATTGGCCCTCGTCTACCAATCCACCTGTTCGGAAATACCTGGGATAAGTATCTCCTTACTTCCAAACCAAAATGTGGTGGAGCACCGTCTTGCTGAAACCAAATGGTGTCGTCTACTTCATTCTTTTCCCCAGCGTACAATGCCCTTACTGCTGGAACGATATCTGTCTGGAGGAGGTTCAAATATTGCTCTGCCCTCAATAAAAAATGGTCCTATTATGTGTTGGTTCATTATTCCTGCCCATACATTTATCTTTTGAGGGTGCTGTGTGTGTGTCTTCTCTTTCCAATGCGGGTTTTGGTTTGACCAGTTGCGGCAGTTCTTACGGTTAACAGCCACCTGATATCATTTCTATATCGGTTCAAAATTATTATACCGTTGTAATAAGAAAAATAGACTTTCAAATTCTGATAAAAAAGGGGGTTGCTATTAAAAAAAAAGTTGGCCTTTTTGGGGGGCTACGTGTTTATTTTTTTAAGTTGGCAATGTCACCGCAAAATTTAAAATAATTTATTAAGCAACTTTTATCAATATTATTAATATTTTTAAAATTTCAAAAGCTACTCTATATGCCAAACTTTTGAGCCACCCTATATATACTTATACTATATTTACGCTAAAGGTACCGAGTGCATGCCAACGCCTTAAAAAGGTCGGGATGCAACTAAAAATTGCCTTGTTAAAGATAAATACATTTTTTCTATTTAAAAAGGTCACCTTTTGTTTCATACATTACAAATTTATGAAAACTCAAATTCCGACTAAAATATTAAAAAATGAAAATTACCTAAAACTAATTTATAAATATAAATAGAGCGTTCAGGATCCCTTCGGGATAAGGGGCCAAAAGTTTTGCCAATGTTGCCACCCTATTGTTACGCCACTGCTCGTACTTTAGTACTTTACTCATTCACGGAACGCTATTTTCCATCATGCTAGACTTGTACTACATCGATGAGGAATCGCTTCCACTAGGTGTTTAGCGAATTTTATTCAGTTTCATTGCATTCTTTATACCAATTGTGTGTTTCAACGACAATTGAAGCAAATTCGTAAATTTATGTTTAGTCAAACAAGGCTTGCTTTAAAATAGTTCCTCTATATGCAAATTTAATTCAAACATTTTATATTTTATAATATTTTTTTTGACCAATACATAAAAAAAATTATTAAAAAGGGGCAAAGCATATTTTAGAGGGCTAAAAAGATTTGTGTTAAAGTAGCAAATTTTAAGAAATACACCCCTGTTATTTTTAATTTATTTTAACTTAACTTTCTTATTAAAATTTCATTGAAAAGAAAACAATTTTTAAGAATTAATACGTGGCAAATTACTGACAAATTAAATTAAACACCATTAGGTAGTACTATGGTACGCACCATTACTGCCGGCTAATTGGATTTATTATGTTGTATATAGTCGTAACTTTTTTGCAATAATAGTACCGCATACTTGTGGAAAATAAATTGTTATCAGCAAAGAAGAGGTGTACTTTAAACAAAACTTCCATATTTGGCTCGGATTTATTATAAGGAATAATATCTACCAAAAAATTCATATCCTGGTTTGCCGTTTAAAGTTAACTATCTGTCAACATCGCAGACTTTGATTAAAATTCGATTAAACATACTGAAAATTAGACTGCATATTTTACTACGAGAGCCGTTAGTTTGTTTGCGTACTTATTAGATAAATTGTTGCATTTTAAAGAGCGCTTCGTATGGGTTTTATACGGTACCATACGATATTCGCACGGAACGGTTTCTTCTAATGCATATGGACACATGTCAAAGTTTTCCCAGGTCGTACGGTACCTGTTTTATACATAAATTCGAATACGGGGTGTCCGGAAAACACACCGACAAACTTTCAGGGGAGGTAAGTGACATTATATTAAGGTTAATGAGGAAAATTCAAAGATATATAATACGCACATTGGAACACCTCAGGGTAGTACTCTGGGTGGGAAAACTGTGTATGTTGATAATGTAACTATTGTTGTATAATATTATGCCATATTATGGCAAGACCGAAAGTAAAATTGTTAATTTAATTCAAACTGTGATAACTGAATTTAGCAACTGGTGTTTTAAAAATAGATTAATAATTAATGTCAAAAAACTGTGTTGATCCAATTCTCCTATGGTAATCTTAAGAAAGACATTTAAATCACTAATCAATTTTTAAATTTCTCGAATTCGTCCAAATTTTTAGGAATGATAACACTGGTCAACAGTGGTTTTGTTGCCCTTGATGTAAGAGTGGTTTCGAGTACCTCTATGCCAACAATTCACGAAATTATGGATGGTTTTGAAAGATTGGCTCTGTTTTTTTATCTTCATTTTTATTTTTTTTATCAGTAAAAATGAGAAAGACATAACAAGTATATTCTTAAAAAACTTTTTATTGAAAATTATTATTAAATGTTTTGTTTTAATATTTAATTAACATACATAAAAGTTGAAAATAAGAAAAAAAATCATAACATTTATATTAAACTTCAGAAAAACGCATTTTAATAGCTTGTTTTATCCAGATGACTGTGGAGATAGTGTAACTTTATGCTGAAATTTGCTCCTAAAATATTAAAGCTTTCCAAAATATTTTGCACAAATTCCCTATAATTTTGTGCTTTATAGTTTCCTACAAAATTTTCTACCACCAATACAAAACTTCTCAAAGCTTCACTTTGAGGGCCATCAAATATTCCAGCTTTCAACTTTTCCATACTTACCTTAGGAAATGTCTTACAAATGTATTTAAAGCATTCTCCTTCCTTGTCCAATGCTTTGACCAATTTCTTCATCATACCTAATATATGTAGTGGCGAAAGTATGATTTTTTCTCTACTTAACAATGGCTCATTTATTATATTGGCTTTACCAACAATTAAGGATTCTCAGGCCACACACCAAGTAAAAAGTTAACCATTTTTAAATCAACTCAAACCGGCCATTGATGTTCATTGTAATTAATATTTTGCAGAACCAATTTAATATTTTGATATTCTTCTTTGAGTTTTGTTGAATGGACAATTGGTATTGATGCAAATTTATTTCCATTGTGCAGTAAAACACATTTTAAACTCTTTTTGCAGCTATCAATGAAGAGCCGCCAATCAGTAGATTTATATTCCTTTAAACCCATGCCTAGAAGTAACTTTGAGATATTATTACAGTAAACAAGTTCTTCATTTTCACTAAAATATGGTAATATCTCTCTTTCTCGTGTTTTGTATGCTGTAATAGTAACATTTGGCCCCAATAAGTTCTTTTCTTTCAGTCTTGAAGCCAACCGTTCTGATGCTTGTTTTGATAAATTCAGATCTCGTATTAAATCGCTAAGTTCATTTTGAGAAAACAACTGTGTTGCGAAGGTTCCACCTTCATATTCACTTCCACTTGTAGACTTTACTGATTGTTATGAATTTGGCAACATCATAGTTTCCGAGGGTAAACGAAGTACTTTTGAAGCATAAATAGTTCGAGGAAGATCTTCACTGTGCAAGACAGGACATCCTGTAGACTGTAAATTTGGATATTACCACGTTTTATTTCGGTTAAAACCTTTAATGTCTACTTCGAAAAAGTAGCAATCATCGAAATGATTCTTAAGCTCCATCCAGATCATAGGGATACCAAAATTTAACCCATTACGTTCTCCTTTCTTCCACCAACGTAAAGACTCAACACAAGTTTTGACATAAAAAAGAAAAAAACGGTTTTGAAAATTCTGTTTAATCAAATAATTAATTATAATGAATAATGGTACCAACTAGCAAACAAAGTGTTCACCGTTTACTTGAACACTAAGATTGCACCACAAGCTAAAGATCTTCCTCATCAAGTATTGCTGACCTATACGATGTCGTATACGTATCTATATAGATTAAACTTCTTAGATAACCACAAAGGAAAAAATCTAGTGGGTTTAAATCTTGTGAACGCGCAGGTCAGGCTACAGGACCTCATCTTCCTATTCATCGGTTGAGAAAATGATGGTCCATACTGGCGTGCGTTCAAACCATAGTGTGGAGGTGCCATGTCAAGTTGAAACCACATTCTGTTTGTAATGTTTAAAAGAACAATTTTTAATAAATTGAGGTACATGATTGAGTTTAAACGAGCAGCAAACTTTACCATCCCTGAAAGTTTGTCGGTATGTTTTTCGGACACCTTGTATTTTAAATTAGTTTAATGGTTTATACATATGGGCATGGTAATACAATTCAATGGCCATTTTTCTATTCTTTATTTTCATATTAAATTAAGACATTTTTAAGTTAAAAAGATTACATCAAATGTTATTTTTAATAGGTCGGTGTCTGGTCACAGTTTAAGGAATGACCTATACAATTTATTTTTAATTTTTTGAGAGTTTTTGGAGAGATCTCAAAAATATAACTTTTCTTAGACTCGATTATAAAAAGCATACAGGCATTTTCACAACAACATGCCATTACCGAGCAACTGGTCGGTCCGCGGCTAATTGGATTTATTACGGAACATAAGCCTATTTTTCTTTGCTGCAGCGGCACCGGGTACCGCATAACTAGTCGTCGGGTGATTAAATAAATCGGCTAATGCTGCCTATGCCTATCTAAGGCCGAACTTACTGCTCAATTTATTTATTGCCTACACGCATTTTGATTGTTTTACATCGCGGTTGAACGTGTTTTGGTAACGGTCTAAATACAATGTTTAGATGTACCTACTGCAACTATCGTCTAGAGATTATAAAAATAGTATCTGAGAAAAAATTATATAATAAAGTGTAGGTTTAATCTTCCGCTAAAAACTCTCATCGCATCTTCAATTAATTCTTTAATGAAACAATGATAAGGACAATGAATGCATGCCTTGGGCTTTTTTGTTCGTGCAATCTATGAAATTGGATTGAATCGACGTGTATATAATAACCAAGTAATTAAGATTCTTCCTACTGTGCACTAGCAGATCAAAAGTGTGCGAAATCCGACTACTTACCGCAGGTGATTAATAGGTGGTAAAAATAATGCAACGATTTAATTCAACTGTGAGTGTAAATTTACATTTGATTCAGTTATTGCCTTGCCTTTTCTATTAAGTTTCACTTGGTTTAAAAAATTATGCGGTTGCTCCAGTTTCGAGAAAAAACAACAATCATACAAACTGATAAAGAACATACAGTGTCATTAATTGGCTTATGTTTTTCACAACGACATCTAATTTATAAGTTCTTATAACTTTTATAAGAGGTGGTTTAACTAAATTTTGTATAATTTAACAGTTGTCAACAAAATATTCAAGACTGTTGATTGTAAATCCTTTTTATTTTTGTTTAATAAGTAGAATTCTAAGTAGTACAGGTGGTGACTTACATTGAAGACATGTGGTCTGGTTAACTCTAGCGAAGAACGGTTGACACGAGCAGCGACCCTTGTGACATATAGACCCAGAGATGTCTTCGCGACATTCCCAGTCGCTGTTGCACTCATCTCCTAGCGTATGAGCCGATGCCAAAGACCCAGAGCTACAATACACTACCATCTGAAAATAAAACAGATCAAATTTAGCTTATTTTCAATTTCAAATAAAAAAGGCGTCTTCTTCAAAGAAATCAAATAATAGTTATTTATGTCATAAAGTGAGCCTTTTTGTTCTGAGCTCCGCTAACGCGTCTCAGACGAATGGCAAACAACATTTTATTTTCAAGATACAGTTTTATTTCTTAAACAATACATAAAACGTACTTTTAATTATAATAACAATTATTAAAAGTATAAAGTGGGATAAGATAGCTCAGAACTGAATTTTTTTATTGGCCCTAACAGACTAGGATGTAAAAAAATTTTACCTTTACTATGAGATAATCGTATACTTAGTAGTAGTGAGTGTTGACAATAATAAAGCTTAGATTATAGATCGCTTGAGCTTAGCACAAAAAGACTAACTTCTCAGCCATGTTATAAATAACTATTATTACATAATTATTATATTTGTTTTGTGGAAAAAAAATCTAGTACAATGGCGGACACTAAATTTTGAACGTCATAATTTGGTTGTCCATGCACAGTTTGGATGCTTTGGACGGTAAACGTATTAGTACAAGTAATGATTAAACATTCAAGGTTTTGATACCCAAATTTTAAAATAAATATTTTTTTCAGATTGCTATTTTAATACAATTTTATTTTATTGTAGCCCTTCTTATGTCATTATTAATGACTCATTAATATTATAAATAATATGGTATACCATATTATTTATAATATTAATGAGTCATTAATAATGACATAAGAAGGGCTACAATAAAATAAAATTGTATTAAAATAGCAATCTGAAAAAAATATTTATTTTAAAATTTGGGTATCAAAACCTTGAATGTTTAATCATTACTTGTACTAATACCATACTAATAATCTATAGATATATTATATGTAGATACCTACAGTGTGGCCCATTTAAGATGGAAACACCCAACAACTTTTTTATTTGTTACTCGATTTTAATAAACAAAGGCTCAAAAGATAGAGAATAAAAAACTCTAACAACCTTTAACAGCTTTAACGTGCAACAGCTCTAATGTTCAACCGCTCTAACGTTCAACGGCTTCAATCCTCCTCAACGCGAGATGCCTCAACACGAGATGCCTCAACGCGAGATGCCTCAACACGAGATGACCAATGCAGACACCCCAATGCTGGATGTCCAAAACCATCTACCCTCCAGCCTCCAACATAATTCATCGACAGACGAGATCCGGCAGACGGGTACGGTTTCCCGATCGCTTCCAATCCGGATTCTCGTGATATTCATCACTGGCAGGAGAGTGATGTGGGGACTGAACCCTTAATTATATTGTGAATATTTTAGTACCCGGAGCCGTTTCTTTCAACACAGTCACTAAAAATGTATTGCGGGGTATTTTCGTGAATTTAAACACGTGTATTGTTCCTAGTACGATATTTCTTTACACAGATAATAATACAACGGAGGTGAAGCTGGCTGTCGCGGCCCGAGAGAATATTCTTTCGGACCATATCGTCGAATAAGGTGGTGTGTCTAGTTTTGGATTGTGTCAACTGATTGATTAGCTAAGAAAAGGAATGGTTTCATAGCTCAGGTACTGGTAGTTCTGAAGTCACGTGTTATGACGTTGGTCTGCTCAGGGCCACCCTAACCACAGGGCTAAATGGGCCCCGGAGCGCAACCTTTTGGGGGTGGCAATTTTTATTAATGTTATATTTTTTTGTTATTATTATATAGGTACTTTTATTCAAAATCTTTAAAAGAAAAAATAAAATAATAACCTGCTCTAAATGAAACAGAGAATATACGAAATTAAATGAACTTTTTCTAATTCTGACACTTTTGTATAACTTGTATAACCCTTTCCACTAACTCCTTTTATGAAGAAGAACGCATTATTTTTAGTTGCCCACAGGCGCTGAATATCTTAAGGGTCTGCGTTCGGGGCTCAAGGCCGGGTTTTTCGAATTGCTGGGATTTTGGAGAGTAATTTGGATAGGAAGTCTACGAAGAATAAGGAACGTTATATTGCTGTAAAAGTAGGCTGTAGAAAATTTTATTGAGGATAAAATTAAATTTAGGCCTCGACAATCCAGCGTACATTTTGTCACGTAGTTATAATAAAAGTTTTATGATTTTTGCCTATAATGTTTTTGTTCTGTGTAGGGGAGGTACTGCCGCTACAGTATTAATTAAACCTACGTTCATCCTCCAAAGCAACCAGTGCGAGCACACAACAAAAAACCTTAACAAAGGACCCTTAGATTTTTACAGGCCAGATTTGGATTCTCCTCTAAAAACTACTCTCTAAAAATGAATTAGTCAAAAATGACTAATTGTCATAGCGAAAAATCAGTCACTAATAATTCTTGTCAATGGCAATTTGTATCCCAAACATTTAGCAGTCAATTTCCATGTAAAATTGTCCCCTGAATCTGAAAATGTCGTCAAAAGTTGAAAAAGTAGAACAGTTTTTGAGATACAGTCAATTTTCCATATTACATAGAATTGACTATATCTCAAAAACTGCTCTACTTTTTTAATTTTTGACGGTATTTTCGGATTCACGAGATAATTTAACATAATAATTGGCTGTTAAATGTTGGGGATACCATTGTATCCCATGGTTAACATGGTATAAGTGAAAAAGAAGCCACTAATAACTGTGATAATTAGTTATTTTTGACTAATTCATTTTTAGAGAGTACATTTTTTGTAAAAAAAAAGTTGTTTGAGGTCCGGCACTGACTTTTTAAAAATATCCGATGGGGCACAGTGCTGGGACTTTTTACTGAAATCTGTTTATTAAATCCCTTCCTGAGATGATTTTTTTTAAATTTTCAATAAAATCAACAATTTGGATTCACCTATGAAAACTACTTCCAAGGCATATATGACTTAAATTTTTTGCAATATTTTCTTATAAAATTTCGTAAAACGCACCCTTAGGGCTCAATATTGGACATGTGGAACAGGATTTTCAATGGGATTATCCCAACGCGTTGCAACGTGATAAAAACAAAAATAATTAGACTATTATTTTTGCGGTCATTACAATAATTCGATTTCCGTTTATTCCGAAAGCATTCATTCGGTGAAAGTGATGAAAGAAACATATAATTTGATATACGATATCGTAATTTGCTTGGCACTAAGCTTATAATCTTTGAGGAATCGCCTTTCAATACATTTAGTTGTGCATCTAATTATAATTGTATGCATGTAATTAATTTTTAGTTGTAAATTGGCAACCTAAATTTGATTCTAACATGATTTGTATTACCTACTTCTTACCTTTCTCAATTCTTAAACTTCAATTACTAAGTAATTAGATGGAAATACATAGAAAACGGGACTTGTCAATCGTCTTTGGAGCAGTACAACAAATTTATAGTAAGAGTGCTAACGGTTAAAAAATGTTTTAAATTTATTATTAAAAAAATTCCATGAAAATGAAATATAAATGTTTATGGTTCATGAACAAGTTATATTTTATCTTTATAATGTACGACGGCGTTAAACAAGTTATATTTCTTCGGCTACAACGATAATACATCATATTTATTCATGCATAGTTCATATTTTACCGAGTTATGAAAAATCACATAAGTTACGTATTCAGAGAATTTTAAAAATCTACAGTTAAATGTCTCAACATACTATCAAAGTAGGCTTATGGTTTGGTTGGCAGAACTGCATAAGCCAAATCTTGGTAGAAAAAAGTTGATGTTTCAAAACATAAGTTATAAAGTTTGATGTTATTTTTTAAGCGGTGAAAACATGCTTAAAGTTTACTATCGCTCGCCGTAATTATTTTTCGTTTTACAACGTAAACTTTTCGCAATAGATAAAATTAAATTAATACCTTCGCCCCCAAGTTTTCCCGTATATAAAAACGTTAATATAAGGGGGAGTATTTTAAAAGTTTCGCGACTTTATTTCGAAGAAGTTCGTCGGAACTTTCGGATAACAAGTTACTCGTCGATACGTGATGCATTGTTAATTTTTCGTATCTTTCTTGGAAAATAATTAATCGACTGCAATCAATTGACTTGAACGGAAACTTTTCAATTCAATTGAATTGCGACAAAAACACCGACAAAACTTTCGCTATTTTTATGTTCATGTTTATAAGGCCATTTTTAATTTTTAGATTTCAGACTTTTTGTTGACTCGGCTTGCAGAATCTCTTAAAGATTATTTTGAACCCTATATTTTTTAAGGAGGTTCGGGCACAAAAAATTTCTTGGTTTCAAAATTTTAGAAAGATAGACCGTCTGGTTTCCAAGTAAAAAGATATTAAAGTTGCTAAGACTACATGGGCTGTTATTATTTATTATTGCTAAACTGTGTTGTGGATGTTAACAAAAATTTATATGCCACTTCTACAGGTATAAGTGCATATATGCATATATACGAGAAAAAATCATTAATTTTTTATTGTCATGTTATAAGATATGCGTTAACTAAATACATCTCATATACAGCACCTGTCTTTAATTAATGCGTATATTACAACGTAACATTTAAAGATAAATGAATTTTTTTCTCCTATGCACTTATGTATGTCTATAAAATGCCATAATAAATTTTTGTTAAGTTTTACCGCACAATTTTGCAATAATAAACGTTAATGTTGACTGTGTCCAACCAAAATTATCAATCTGTCATTCTCGTCTAGAAGATCCGGCACACGTGATTATCTAACGATATATCGTTTGATTTATTTTGTGAATACCATAATTGTATTTTTAAAGTAAATTATTTAAAAAAAAACACAATTGTATTAAGTTATTTATTATAAGTTGTTTTTTTTAATAATTAGACAGTCCTACCTTCTATGGTTTTCTTCTCTTTGTTTTCTGCTCTTCTCTTTAGATTTTTGTTGCATTTAACATATTGGATGTTTTCTATCTTTTTTTTAATTATTTTTTCTTTGTAGTGGACTTTATTTGTTTTCACAACTGATTTTTATATTTCAAATAACACTGCATATAGTGTCACTGTCACTGTCAAAA